TCCCATGAAATCAATCCCACTGGGGCCGCAATTCAAGGCGTCCACGCTAGTCTTGTAACCGCCGACGCCAGAGGAACTGGACGAGGGATTCATGGAGCCCGATGGTGAGTTATACTCGTACTGCCAGTGAGGAAGGGAAAATTATTCACAAAACTGCGCCTACTAAAGACAACAAACGACTTTCGCCATCATTTGAGTAGTACCTACCCACCGCTTGTGCACATATTTGAGTTCATCACACGAGAAGCAAAGAGAGCATTAAAAATAGTAACCAAAACCTCAAAGTCTAAAATGCACTACATGCCAAAAGTGAAAGACTTCAGTACCTTAAACAAATGGAATTTTTGGCAAATCAAAAATTTATTTCAAAGGAGAAAACATCCTCAACGATGCTATCACCAGTTATGTCCGTTTGAGGCATACACCATTATAAAAATCACCTTTTATTACTTCAGCAGAACAGTGGATGCTATCACAATGGGTAATTGGTTGGGCTTTACCAGTTTCCACGTCTCAGTGTCTCCAAGCAAATATAATGGAATCAATGCACAAGGAGAGCATTTGAATAAAGACGACTTTTTTTCTCGTACGATAAAATCATCAAATGGGTAGCCAATGGGTTTGGTCATGCAAAAAATATTTAAAAATACATAAAGCTCTGCATCCAAGTTATCTTTTCAACTTCAAACAGCATCCATTTAATACATCCATGTCTCCAAAATGTTTATCCAGTTAACTGTGAGTTATCTCTTTCGCAAACTACTAAAAGTGTTTCATGGGTAATTTCCGACTCCTCAAGCCGTCTGTAACATCAAAGTTTTCGTCTTCAGAATGCATTCAAATTGGCGCGTCAAATTCATTGCCTAATTTTTATGCTTTCTAGATGGAAGAGAAGTTGAATGGAGCAGAACTAACACAATAATTATGGAAGACGGTTTTCACACTTTAAGCTCATAAAAATGTAATTTATGAGGCGCCGTGACGTCTCAACTAGTCTAGTGGCATGCAGTACGCAAGTGTCCGAGGAGGCCGCAATAAAGTTACTTGTGAACAAATACAATGACAGCCACCTTGTAGAGAATGATAATAAGCGTGTTCAGCCAGTGGTGTCGAACTTGAGGCTCCAACAAACGAAGCGTGAAATTTGGCGCCTGACAATCGTTTGCGTAGCGCTGCGGTGAGGCGCACACCTGCAGAACCATCAGTGTCTGATGCAGAATACAGCTGCCCATCGGAGGATTTCTATCCAAGACATCTGCTACGTGTGAGATGAATGCGTGGAAGACCGTTGATGTCCTACAATCAGCAGAAGGTACGTGTAGTGAACACTAGGCTAAAGCCAACTACTAAAGGACGATTCGAACGGTTAGACTTGATATCTATCGACCTTAATTTGTAAGGTGGGATGTTGAAGGCCTGATCGGCATAACCAAGGAGAAGAGCCAAATGCCGTTGGACCTTCGCAAGGGCCTTCTTGTCTCTCAGCTCATCAGTGGGGGCTCCGCGGCGTGATTTACTTCCCTGACCACCACCTTCCATGTCTACTGTGGCCATAAAGCGGAGCAGAAGGCGCACCCACTGGTGCAGAGCGTCCCGATCGGAACCCTCTTGATCCAGTTTCAGCTGTAGCGAACAGAGGAATTTGTTTGCACTATCCATTAGCTCCGTTGATCCCGGCCCACCTACAGAGAAATCCACATCAAACAGGATTTAAATCTGCGCTTTCAGTATTCCTCTCCCTTCCTGCTGTATCGCATTTGAATTCTCCACGGAATTATGGCTTTTCCACTTCGCCTGTTTAGCTGAGAAGTTCAAAGCATTTTTGATACAAACTTTTTAGCCACGATTTTGCGCGACTTCATGATCATTACTGAAATATTTGCTAAAACCCCAATTGAAAGTAGACTTATTTCTCCAATCAGGAGCAATAATTGTGGCACTTTAGTCATTTCTTATCATAATAACTCCACCTTCCTTCATAAATGAAAACAATGGTTTGGTTCCATATGACATTTCCCTAAATAAAAAGGTGGTAAGCGCTGCAATAAAAAGGCAAATGAGATTTGTTCTCCAATGTCGCCCCAGATGGAATGGCACCAAACAATAAGAGCGAGATTTCTGAGATAGAAGAACAACTAAAGCGATCCTGATTGTAACGTTAAGTGGATAAAATCACACCGAAGAAAAGAAAACACTAAGGTGAAGGTAAGCAACACTTTAGGCATGTAGATTGGTTGCAGTACTCTCTACCTAATAAAGCTTAATTTAGGAGAAATTCTGTTATTACCCGGAAAACCTGCCAATCAATTTAAGGGGCGCAATCTAAAAGGATTACACTCACCGGGGAAGAAGCCGGTTAGTTTAACTACAGACGGTCTCGAACGTCGATTTTCACAGGCTCCTTGATTCTGTGCTTCTAGGACGAAGAAAAGAAACCTACTTAGCACACATTTTTCGAAAAGCATTCCAAAAGCTCTAAGCAAAGGTATAACACAAGACTTGGTTCACAAGTCCAAGAATGTGCTGTAAACTTGTTTGAAAGGGGAGGAATGCTGAATAAACACCTACTTATACGTTCAAAACAGGCGAAACTGATAAATATTTGTCGAAACAGCAGACCATTTTACTGGGAAAAACTCGCTAGCCGCAGATCTCGTACAGATAATCTACTTCGCTGCCCAAACGGCAAGAGTTGCTTGCTTTGCGACCACAGTTTTTACCATTTTTGCGCAGTGAAAGAGGATAAAGAGGAAATAAGAAACTCCTTTGGAGCTATCCACCCTGAGCAAAGTGTGGTCGATTTTATTGCCTCATAAAACGGCAAGGAAATGCAGTTCTAGATGGCCTTTATTGCCCAGATGATGTCACCGAGGAGGACAACAAACTTAAATTCACCTGCAGGTGGAGATCGCCTACTCGAATCGTGCTGGTCGGAGCACTTCAAGGTGGTAATTCGTCGCTGAGGCTTTGCGCCACAAGTCCTATTCTTCTTCATACCATTTCTGTGGTCATCTGGCTGGCCCATTACTGATGGCAGCATGCCCGCGCCCGTGGCTGCAAAAACAGCGCGATTAAACTGTTGTTGAAAGGCGTCTCCTCGCTTATCCATGTTGTTGAGATCAGTTACTAAATCAAATAGAGCTTATTTAGTTTAATCCAAACATCACTACCACCGTTGTCAATTTCCTTACTGCAACAAAAAGATTTCATGATCATCATGAAGTCTGAACGCGTAATGATCTTCCTTCAATACAGAAAGCAAGAATGTGAACTGCTTGTGAAATATAGCAAAATTTAATACTTTGGATTGGATCACATGTGCTACTGATGCATTGTCGGTAGACGTAATTATATAGGTATTCTCACAAACCTGAATCAATGTCAGGATTCGTTTTGCCAGCAATTTGAGCTCCGATCGACAGAATGCCAAATCGGTCAATAAAAAAACCCCAAGTGAATATCTGTCGATTGGGCAAAGCAAAGCTGAGCTGTTGTAGCCGCTTTAAGATAATTGTGCGATCGGCTGCTAGCGTGTCAAAGTGATATTCCATACATTGAATGCAGCACTGAAACAAGCAAAAAAAATTATATAATAAACTTTGATGCGCATATTTCGAACTTCTTTTTTTCAGCAGCTGTCACAGATAATTATGCTTCAACTGATTAGTTAATTTGTTATCATCCACCACTTGGGTGGAGTAGAAAATGGCTAATCGACTCTCTGCAAAAGTACGACAACTTACACCCAACGCATTGTCATCCAAACCATTTAAATGATAGGAGCTCCTCTGAGCTACTACTGAGCTATAGTCATCCAAAGAGCCAATAAGACGTGAGAACAGATGAGCAATTGAATTTAGCACGAAGGGGTGGAGAGGACCCATAGCTCCTCCCATAGCTTTGCCAAGGACGCCTCTAGCATCACTTCCTCCCCATAGGAGGTTGCCTCCATAACTTCCCGAGGCACTGAGTGCAGCTGCAGCGTTGGAATTATGTCCTCGGAATGCACCAACCCGCCGACCAGCCCGAGCTGCCAAACCACCACCACCACCGCCTCCAGTACTGCTGCTTACAGTGGAGGAAGTGGCTTGACGTCCAACTGACAAGTCCTTAGAGGCAGGTCCATTGTAGAAACCGGATATTACGGCGACATCTAGCTGACGTAGAAGGCAATAGATCTTCTCCATGGCATCAAAACGCACCTTCCAGTCGGGATGGGTGCATTCGCGCTCCACGAGATGCCAAAAGACACCTGCCATACCAGGTACTGTGAGGGATTGGAGAAGAAGTGGCACCACCCAACTGGCAAGATGGGAGTGCTCTGCCGTGAGCAGATCCCATAACCTGAAATACCCCGATGTATGTCCGTTTGGTTGCGCTTATATCTTTAGCCGTGAGGCTTGCAATCCTTTGGCATGCCTGTGTAAACTATGTTTGCAATAGATTACTTGCATTACTTAATTATCCTTGCATCCTATACGACGCATTCATTTAAAAGCCCTATGAACTTCGTTATAATCAAAAATTATGTGCACATTCCATATATGCGAACGAGGAAAGGTAAAACGTGCGTTGGAATGAGACAGTGCT